GGAGGAGGAAGCTAAGAAGGAAGAGGGTGAGGAGAGCACTCTTAGTAAAATTAAGGCTAGTGATAAGGAGGCTAAGGAAGAAACTAACTAGTTCTAAACTAGTTCTAAACTAGTTATAAACTAGTTAGCGACAAGGCATCTCTAGTTTTTCTTTTAGTTATGAGGAGTTATTAGTAACTGGGTCAACTAGTATTCTAGTATGCTTTTTCTAAAAAAAGACTAGTTATTAATGAGTTAATAACTAGTCTAGCTTACTACTAGGAGAATGGAACTATCTTTTTAAATATTCTAAACCTAAAGTCATCTTTCTTAAAGCCTGATATATGTCTGTAAGGTATAGATAATATATAATAAGAGTAACTAGTTCATAACTAGTTATGACCTGGTTAACATATATATATATATATTTACTATAAAAGTATGAACTAGTTCTTAACTAGTCCATATCTACCCTATGCAAGGACTAGAATAATTATTATAAGTATATATAATTTATTAGACAAGTTCCTAACTAGTTAAGAACTAGTACCAGGCTGTTCCTGGCCTAAAATAGCAACCTCTTTTTGCCAGATCTCAACCTGTAGTAACCTTTCTCTAAGCTGAACACAATTTACCTCTAGCTAAATCTATCTTTCTTCAAGTTAAAGACACCTTTTAAGCTATTAAAGCTTACATTCTTCAACCTCTAACTGAGCCTGCTATATCTATAAATTCTGGACTTGTAAATTAGAAGTAGCTGTTTGCTGTAGTAGCCTAAGATAGAAAGGTAACTAGTTAGTAACTAGTCCAGAACTAGTTAATATAGGGACTTACAGTGATTATGTACTTCTATAATATATTAGTAAGTATTAGTAATAGTATCTCTATAAAACTCACCCTGGTGGACTTGATGATGGGATACCTAGGTAAGGAGTTGGAGATCTAAGAAAGGTTAATATAGAGTAGTTACTAACTAGTTAGTAACTAGTTACTAAATATACTCAGATAGAGACTCTGAGTATAGCCTAGTATTAGAAGGGTTAGAAAGAGTACTTTATAGTATAGAAAGGATAGATTTATATACCTTCTTGGGGTTGGTCGACACGGTAATTAGGGAGTTAATGTTCTAGAGAAGTTAGAAAAGATATAAGCTAACTAGTTTAGAACCAGTCCTTAACTAGTTATACTTACCATAATCTTAAGCATGAGGTTAGTATTCTACTATAAGAGCTACCTCTTCTTCCTCTATAAGAGGGTATTGCACCAGAGGAGTTTAACTCAAAGAGAATATTATCAGGATCTCTAATATTCCCTTCATTCCAGCGCTTCAGCTTCTGACTGTCTAGGGGATGTTAGCAACTAGTTGCTAACTAGTTAAGGACTAGTTCATACTCTGCCAGGTAATATTATTCTAGTATCATATTACTATATCATCTGATTGATATGAATGATGGGTACCATAGGCCATTCATGCCTAATACTAATTAATATCATGCTGATTAAGGATATAGGATCTAATATAGTTAGTTAAGTATAATAAGCTAGTTACTAACTAGTTATAAACTAGTCTATAACTTACCCCTTTACTGCCCCTAATAGTGACTCATGAACCCCTATAAAATAAGATTTATAGTGGCTCTGCTCAACAGCATTAGTAATATTTCAAATCTGTTCAAAGAACTCAGGAGGCATTAATAAGCAGGCTTTATTTAAGCCAGCTGCAATAATATAATAGTATTTATACTTAGCCCAACCTGCAATCTCTGGTGATTCATGCTCTAGAACTAGTTAGTAACTAGTTTAGTATAACTAGTTTAGAACTAGTTCTCACCTTGAAGAAGGTTAATAAGCTAATAGTATTCAGCTTCTATTTCACAATTAAGAAGGCTTCTCATCCTTATAAAGGTAGTATAAGAAGGATGCCCTAGCTCATTCATATCTCTAGCTATTCTAAGTAGTCTTAAAATAGTTCATAGAAAGTGCACATAACAGAGAATTAAAATATTCTTTAATTACTATTGCCATGGTTAGTGAGCATTATTAATAGAGGCAAGGTAACGCCCAAGGCCTAGGATCTATTAGTAACTAGTTAGTAACTAGTATATAACTAGTTATACTTACCTAACATCTGCTTACCACACATATCAACCACAATACCCTTAAACCCACTATTATGAAGATAGTGGAAGTTTACTAGCTTCTAGGTAATTTTACCTATTAAGCTAAATACTTATTTAAATAAAAGTTGATAGCTTTGGGCTGTTTCCTGGTTGATAAACACTTATAAGAGTGTAAGACTTAACTAGTTAGTAACTAGTCAGTAACTAGTTAGAACTAGTCTACTTACTCTTTCTATGTTTAGGAAGAAAGGTTGTAAAGATCACCTTATTAAACTCTCCCTTAATCCTTTTATAGGATATATTAATTTCAAAGCTGCTAAGAGAGCTTAGGATCTGAATCTGCTAATTAAATCCACAGATAACCATGGTATAATCATCCTGGGTATATACCCTCCAGATATAATTCTAGTGACTAGTTAATAACCAGTTAATAAATAGTTAGGGACTAGTTGCCTACCTTAATCTCTAGCCTATGATCCATTTCATATAGAATACCATTAATATTCCAACCACAAGGATAAAGAAGGGCTTTTTCCTTAGTAATAATAGCTGCAAATCAGTCCTGATTTACAAAGCTATTATGAATTTGAGAAAGGGTCTGGCCATTATACTACTAATAGAACTATAAAAGTAGAGGGCTCTAAAGAAAGGTACCTATAACTAGTTAGTAACTAGTCCCTATTTCTTATGCCTATTTTAAGTAAACTAGTCTATAACTAGTACATAACTAGTTAACTTACTTAAAGTAAGATCTGGATTCTATATTTACCTAATCAGATCCAGAATCCCATCTATAATAAGCTATGGTGGCTTATTTAGTGGAGGTAGTAGATAAGTATAAATACTAGTTAAGAGAAAGATAGCATAAGGGCATGCCTGAAGGTCCTCTGGAATATATATTCTAAACCAAACATTATAGGCCATTTTCTGCATCTTTCCAGCTCCCTGTGGATGGATAACCCCTAAGGAAATATCAGTTTAGTAGACTAGTCAGTAACTAGTTAGTAACTAGTCTTTAAGTAGTAGTAACTTACCACATAGTAGTTAATAGGTTAGGTTTTATTCAATAACTCCACATAATCTAGGCTGCTGATTAGAGCCATTATATCTAAGAAGCTCTCTCAGGCAATTCAGATTAATATTCACTGCCCTATTTATAAGGCTCATATAGAAATGACCTTGACAGGGATTTCTAGAATTTAAATAGACAAGATAAGGCATTTCAGCTCAGGTGATTAACTAGACTAGTTAGTAACTAGTTCCTAACTAGTCTAATCTATAGAATATACTAACCTAAGTATCACTTAGTCTTAATACTAGCTAACATGTTGTTATTTATTAAAGGCAGGCATCACCTAGATTAAATCACTATTTAATACTATAGAACATCCTAGGAGCTAGTTAGCAACTAGTCTATAACTAGTTAGGAACTAATCCTTACCTATATACAGCTCACTCTTAGGTGCTAATTCAGAATCAGTAATTCTAGAGCATATCTCTAATATTTGCTCTAGAATAGGTAGTGAAACCCAAGTATGATGAATATTCTTTAGTTCTAGTAATAAATATTCACATACTTTTACCCCTATATAATAATAAACATATTTTTTAACATTGCACTCTAGGAGTGGTAAAAAGGTTATTTAATATAAGCCCTCCTATTAATAAGCATATTGTATCTAGACTAGTTAGTAACTAGTTAAGAACTAGTTTAGAACTAGTACATACATCATGCAATGATTTCTCAAAGGTTTCCAAGTTCCAGCCATGACTTTTTATAATATAAGTATAGCCATTTTCATCAGATCTTGGATATTCTAGTAAATAATCACTATACTTAATAAATTAAGCAGTATTTCCAGGCCTTTTCCCTCCATTAGTAATAAGGATAATTAGTATAGGCTATAAACTAGTTAGTAACTAGTTATGAACTAGTTAAACACTAATCTTCATACCACCTCATCTAGATTACTACTTGCAGTATTATAACCATATAAAATTACTTTATCAACTTCATTTAATAATTCATCATACTCTGATTCAGGTGTAAGAGATGATAAATTAATAAGAGAATTAATTACTATTTAATCATTCTTAAGATAATGAAAGTTATCTAAGGATGACATTATGAACTAGTTTAGAACTAGTTAAGGCTATAAGATATAGTGAAATTATTACAGAACATGAAATTAGATTTAGATATAAAAGGTCGGATGAGCTTTTATATTTATGTTATATAGGTCGGCTGACCCACTTTGGTTAGCCGAACTCCTTAGTAAAGGTCGGCTGACCTGTAGTCACGAAAGCACTTTGGTCCATACACAAAGTTTAGGAATCTGCAGTTCAGAGAAACATTCCTGATCTCACTAAATACAACATCAGTGAGATTTGACGGCTCATAGATACCCAATAGTGTAGTAGCGTTTGAGTCTCCAATCTAACATTGTTATTGATTCACAACTTCAGCGAGACGTCGAGCAACGGAACCATAGTCACTCCAAGCTGAAATCAATTTTACCACCTCTGCACGCCCGTTCATCAACCCACATCCACCATGGGCAGTAACGATCCACTCCTCCGCATGCCCCAGATCTGTCTGGAGGCGTCAAGAAAAGTCGGCATGCCATCTCCAGCAACCAGCGCATCTTACGAAGATAGGAAGCGCAGCGAGAATGCCTTTTGCTCGACCTTCGTCCTAGGAGGAGAGCACGTACTCCCATACTTTTTGAAGTCCATGTGCCCGCACCTCATCTGGTTCCCAATACATTCATGGGATCACTGAAGGAGCTTCATGTCGCACTTCCGGCTGCCTTGACAAATATTGTGCAGAGATGGGTTGAATCTGTGATCAAAATCAACTGAGGGTCAACGGACATGAAGCCTTTGATTTTCGCCGTATGACTTGACCCATCCTTGACAGTTTTAAGGCTATACACTATCTTTTATCACACTTAAAACGCACGTCGGTTAAATACGGTCATATGTTACATCTTCACGCATTTACGGCAATACCATAAACATGGGCAGCATTTACCAGGCGCCTGAACATCTGCAAATTTGCTGGTCAGCCACAGACAATGTAGGACAGCCGTTGTCGGTGATGCTGGCCAAAGACGAAGATCGACATCGCGATCGAAAAGATTATCAGGCGATATACCAATCAACGCCACGGCCTGGATGCGATTGTAGCCAGGAGACCCTTTCGCCTCATCTAATATTAGCTGACTGACCGAAGTCTTGTTCTGCGGTTGAAAACTTTCCACGAGGCTCTAGTTAGAGCTGTGGTGAATATCGTGGACAGATGGTGGGAAGATATTAGTGCCAACTTCCCAGCCTGAATGCCTTTGGAGCATCCTGTGGAGGCTGTTTTACAGGTCAGTAATGTCAAATCTTGTTCCTCTCAGGGCACTAGATGACAGGTGATGCAGTGGATTGATGAGCAGAGCCGCATGAAGCAACTGTGGGCGTTTAGAGACTGCCTTGGCATTTGGAGGCCTGATTTCATATTGACAGGTGACGGCAGCGGTGCGGTTGGATTTCAACTGTGTGGGATAAACAGCCGTGTACCACTCAACGCGCTCATCAACAGCGCATACTAAAACGACATCATGTGGCAACTATTGGGAGCCGAATCGAGCTTAAAGCCAGCTGGTGACTTCAATGAGATGGTGGACAGTCTTGTCTGCCTTTTCGACGCTAGGTTGCCAATCCATCTTGTAAGGGGAAGGGACACAATTGACAGGCAAGAGTTTATCCACCTAGTCGAGAAGAAGACTGGGCTACGGCCAAGGTTTGTTGGGTTAGCGGACCTGCAGTTGGGACCGGATCCTTCTTCTGCGACAGGAAAGTCCCTTTGTTGCAAAAGTCCGGCCAGTAGGGAAGAAGGAGAAGAACTAGAGAAGGTTAAGCAGGTGGCTCTATTGCTCTTCCCTGATGAGTACTCTTTGCTGGCACAAGACTTGCTCCAACACTTAGCACCTATAGCGGCACATGATTTTCGTACTAGCCTACTAGCCAATGGCGATCGGTTCCTAGGCATTGTGTTACAGGAAATTGAGCACCTTGTAATCACCCACAAAGCCCTCACTCCCGACCAGGCTAGACTCCTCAAGGACTGCATCGTGCCTACCATACTACCAGGATCTCTGGAATTGGAGCAATGGATCGATCTTAGCACCCGAGCGGAGGTTACGAAGAACGATTATATTCTCAAGGCAGCCCGTCAAAGTCGCGGGATGGGTCATTTACTCGGAGAGGAAGTCTCTGAAGAGAAATGGAAGGTGATCATGGCCAGGATGGATGATCCAGGTATGCGCACGGGCACGACATGTTTTGTTCTGCAGCCTTACATACAACAGCCCACCTTTGATATTGTTGTGAATGATGATAAAGTCGAGCACGGTTTTCATATGATTGGTACATACTATACAGCTAATGGTCGCTTTCTTGGTCTAGGCCCTTGGCGCGCAGGAAGGGCAAAAATCTGCAACGTCCATGGTAGCGGGTGTGTGGGGCTATATTCTGTTACTCAGGCAGACACGGATTGATAACAAATACATAAGAAGCTGCTTGCATGCAGCTGCGTTTCTACGCCACGGGCAGTCGCGTCAGTCGACTGTGAACAAAGCTGGAGGGGCCGTGTCGGATCAGATGGCCAGAATTACAACAATTGATATTCGAGAGGAGAATTCCATCCATCCATTGCTTAAAACCGAATCTAACCGACAGCTAGATATCGACTAGGTAGGCATCTTCCCTTGGAAACCTGTATATCATCAATCAGACCCAGAGGAGGATCTATGTCGATATGGTTCTCTTCAAGCAATGGTAGTACTTTCTGGGATGTCATACACATCGCGGTGTAGGGACGATATAAATGGATAGTGAGAGGGAGAGAGAGATATGTGTACACTTTGACTTGTAGGAACCAACCAGCTATGAGGAATATATTTACCCCCTATCCGAGACATAAAGAAAGTTATGAACTTAATAGTATTAGGTTGTCACGACTAGCCCATCGATAAGGAAGTTCTACGGACAAAAAGCAGAATAAACAACATCTTCATTATTCTCAATTGCGTGAGGGAGGTTTTGCTATAATGAAAAGCAGATAATGGGTAACCACATCTCGTTTCTTACAAGATTAGCAATTCCTTAACACAGGAAGTGATCATGTCAGTAATCCCCTGGTAATCCTCTGTCATGGAAACTGAGGTGAAGTATGGGCCGATGCGCGGTATGGAGACGGTCTGGAAGCAATGGGAGTGATACGAAAGGCGGTCTGCGCAGTATTCAATTCAGATGCTATCCAAATGGGCTGGCAATGGGAAACTGCATGACCATCCCAGTCTGTGCAGCTGGAGATTATATGGGAAGTGACAGTCATTTCTAGGCTTCTACAATCATGCATCCGTTTTCAGAAACTGACGTCAAAATGTCAAAGCTGGTGATGCTTGCGACGTTACATCGAAGAGCACCAATAATGGTGTTTCTTCATAATTAACATATGAACACATTAATGAAGTCAGGTTTTGTCCTTCAGTGACTTCCCATCTACCCCTCTGCTCTCACAGACCCGAACATGGCACCCCTACTGCAGACGCATACCCCATCCCCCAAGACGATACATATCCTAGCAAATCTATCTCCGCGAGCAGGCTTTCAGGTCCCCTCAAATACTCCGGAAGCCTGGATGAATACGAATCATTTGATCTGACTTCCGCCATTGGCCGGGAGTTCTCGACACTGCAACTGAGCGAGATCTTACACGACGATGCCAAGATCCAGGATTTGGGCATCATAGGTCCGGATTTCTATTGTGATGAAAGTAAAATACAAGCACTAACATACAAGCAGTCTCCCAGCGTGGAGTGGTGTTCATGCGCAACCAGGACTTGAACATCGCTGACCAGAAGAACCTGGCGATCAAGATCGGGAAGCTGACAGGGAGACCCGAGGTATCTTATCTTCATAAACATCCTCTTTCGAACGGCAAACGCGGGCTTGCAGTAGACAAGGACGGAAAGGTCGATGATGAGGTGACCATTATGTCTTCTGAGCAGAATAAGAGGATGTATAGGGGTCGTTGTGGTCCTAGTACGAAGCGATTGGCTAGTGAGGGATGGCATTCAGAGTAAGTAGATCGTCTTATGGACCTGGCACAACTTCGTGATTTACAGAGGTGGCAGTATCACCTTTGAACCAGTGCCATCCGACTACGCCATCCTGAAAATCGTGACTCCTCCTCAGGACGCAGGAGGAGATACACTTTGGGCGTCTGGATATGAGGCCTACGACCGACTTTCCCCAGCATGGAAGAAATTCGCCGAGGGTTTGACGGCCACCCATTACCAACCTGCTTTCAATGATGCTGTCAGAGACCAGAATATGGAACTTATCACAGAGGATCGCGGCAATCCGGAGAACAGCGGAGTGGAATTCAAAGCCTCCCAGTCAGTATATCCACTTGCTTAAGTTCTTTTCTAGATTCCTCTCTGACTAAGGCTGTTACAGTCCCGTTGTGCGCACAAACCCGGTGACTGGGTAAGAGCATAACAATATGAGCCTCTTAAATTCGATGAATGAGAAATGGGCTGATCACTTGCAGATGGAAGAGTCTGTTTGCTGCTGGATTTCAGATCCGCGCAGGATGGATTGACCATGTGACAGAGTACGAAAGTGAGATGTTAAAGTCTTACTGTAGGATTCTCACATGATATTTATTAAGCAATGAATTGACTAAGCATGTTTTTTTGCATTCAGTTCTGAAATTAATTTCTGAGAACCATGACCTTCAGGTGCGATTTCGCTGGAGAGAAAACGATGTCGCCATATGGGACAAGTACGTATGAACCCATGCAACCCAATGTGAGCCAAATTTCTAACCCTCTACTAACCGCTCAGTGTTCCATACTGCAACTTAGTAAGTAGAATATGGTGGGAACAGTCATGTCAGCAATAACCTTCTGACAACGGTGACAGTGACTATAATGGTGCTCGGGTTGGAAACCGAGTGGTTTCTATTGGAGAGAGACCATTCTACGACCGAAATTCCGTTTCCCGTAGGGAAGCGCTTGGACTTGAGGTGTAGGGAACAGAATGGGCTTCGAATATTCAGCGAAATCTGTTCCATCTTCAATGTAACAGCGATGGGGTGGTCTAGTTTAGCTGCACGGGGCCAAGTCAGACCTCCGGACTTAGCATGTCGCTTCAGGTTAAATTGAAATTTCTGGAATGTACGAATTTCTCCAATGAGCCCGCCGAGTTTCTCCTACTTGAATCGACTACGACGATCGCAGGTAGTGGAACGGTCGCATCAAGCTGCCGAGAACGGAAAGTGAAGGCATCCGGATCCAGCGGTCGGAGTGCAAACCGGTAAAAGCGTCAACCCCGACGCTTTCTCTTCTCTCTAGGCTCAATATTGCTGCAAATCTGTTACATCGATATGAGTTACTAAAATGAATACCCCATCGCCGATCATCCTCGATTATACCCTCCACGATCTCTACACAGCCGATTCGGAAGATGGCCTGAACACTGTCCTGATCTACTACCCGTTACAGTTCGGGCACAACCATGAGGGTACATCGGCCAAGTTTACCTACGGGTACAAAGTGGAAGAAGAGGATGAAGACGCCACGTCGTCCTTGACGATGGCCGCCAACCTGGTACCACAGCGATACGCGTTCTCAGCCGGCAGGATGCCTCTGGTTATCCTGGACGTTATTGCACAAAGGAGATTGGACAACGAAAGCGAAGGGGGTCCTCAAGGTACGGATTCTGCGCCCGCCCACCATCTTGATATCTACCAAACGTTCGCCCAGCTACAGCCCGACCAGCGGCCAATCGTCAGTTTTGCAAACAACCCGGACAGTATAGAGTTAGACTTGGACGCGAGGATCGCCGTCCTAGTGCCCACCGACTGCCTGTCGCATTTACCACACCTTACCTGTCCGGAAACTCACTATGAGATCCTGTCAAAACGTGGGCTGGCTCTGTCGGGATTACCAACGCCGCCGTCTCGGGTCATTGACACCATTCTTGTCAACCACGAGGATCCCAGTCTACTTGCCATAGAGACTGCACGGATGACTGAGTCAATTGGGCAACGTCAGATCCCTTTCATGGTCAAATTACCCCAGTCGATTTCAGGGATGGGCACCTTTGCCGTGACCTCCGAAACCGACCGAACGCGGATAAAAGCCATGCTCACAACCCAGTTAGGGACCATGCTACGACAACTTAACCAAACGAACCGGCATCTTCATCCCTGCTCGTTGGTCTTGCAAGACTTTGTTGACGGACCGGTGGTGGCTCTATCATTGTTCGTCACCAAGACCGGCCAACCCATATTCATTGCCTGCTGTGAGCAACTATTCGATGACCACTCGCATTGGATCGGCGGGCGCATCTCGTACCGGCAGCAGGCAGGGTTTCGAAAGACGTTTTGCGCGCTCATGGGCAAAGTGGCTGCGTTCTTGCATCGCAAAGGGTATCATGGCCCGGCGGGCGTGGATATTGTCATCGATCAACACAGCGGGGAGCAGTTGGTTATTGATCTGAATGTTCGGGTTACTGGTACTTTTAATCTAGGGCCTCTCACGGGGCATTTCACTCGGCGTGGGCTGTTCGAGGCTGCTATGACTAGCGGGGATTTCTTTTGTACGCGAGATGCATTCGAGGAAGTCTTTTCGGAGGAAATTCGACAAGGCAGTTTGATTGTTAGTGGCTGGGTACATAACGAGTCACGGTCAAAAAGCTATGCTGCGATTACTATTGGGGCGAGAGATTATGATAGTTTGCAGGAGTACCTTGAGCGGGTTAGGGCTGTTGGTCTACAGAATTAGTTTGTGTGAATTCAACATTGCTCCTTTCATGCTCATCCGATTCCTGCTCCAAATCTGAGGTAAATGACCCCTATATACAGCTTCTATTACTATATTTCCGGCTGCATTATAAAGTCACAAGCTTCTGCGTCGCTTCAGGCATGATCGACCGCAGAAACTGTTCTAAACTCTCTACATCATCAATATCCGAAAGAAAAGCCAGATGCTGATCAGGCCGCAGCAAAGCCATGCACCCCTTGTCCCCAATACCAAAAGACGAGTACAGCCTCCCTCCGCCGGCATGATGGTAAGCTTCACCATCAGCCCAAACCCTGCCATAGTCTACACCGTCTTTTGTCCAAGGACGGAAGACCATCGGCAGGTCGTTCAGCTCGATGCTAAGTCTATCCGCACAGTGAATGAGATACACCCCGAGAGCCGGAAACCCGCGCCGCGCCACGGAGACCGGGTCATTCAACTTCTCGAAAGCTGAATCCGGGGAATTGAGGGCATTTGCGAGGTCTTCGACGCGGTGCTTCTGATCCGCTCCCGCAATGTCACCTCCAAAAACGATCAGATTCCATTGTCCCGTACTGGGGAGGATCTGCTGCAGATGGCATGCTTGCGAGTCGCTTTGGTTAAGGATCAGCACGCTAGGAATGCGCGCGCCGACTCGAAGATTCCGGGCCACAGATGGTCTGCTGCTGCAGGAGGCCACGCCTTTGGGCAAAGGCGCATCACAAACTGTTGCTGTAACGAGAGAATTAGGCTCGTAGATCACAGCGAGTCCCGACATTGAGGAATTCTCCTCCTCGAGCGCCCGCCTGTGGTCCTCGTCGAAGCCGCCATGTTGGGCCTCCGGATGCCCGTTCCGCTGGCTGCACATTCCTCGGCAGATCCGCTGGTCTAGTGCAATCAGTCTTTCGGCAACGGGCAGCCGTTCTTGTTGGTACGTCTCGAGGACACGTGGGTGCAATACACCCTTGATGACTGACGCGATTTTCCAGCCGAGATTAAACGTGTCTTGCATGCTGACGTTCATCCCTTGTCCTGCTTTCGGAGAATGCGTGTGGATGGCGTCTCCGGCAAGGAATATGCGGTTATATAGACCAATTTTTCGGCAGATGCGTTGGCCGACCTGGTTG